ACCTCTAAGATCCTATAGGCTATTATACTAATCTGGGTCTATGCTCCTCTAATAGTGTCTTCCTCTAATATCTTGAATATAATTAACTCTTAGACTATTGCTATAGTATATACTTTTAGTACCTTACTATATTTTGTCTTTAGCTTAGTCTAGATACTAGAGGCCTTTGTTTCCTCTATAATCTTATCTTAATCCTTAGGTCTAAGACAGCTTATTAGTTTATATATAGCCTTAGCATTTACCTTCTACTATATAGGACTGAACCTTAAATGTTTAAGACCTAGGAATGTTATCCTTAACTTAGATCCCTCTAAGGATAGTATGTCTCTATTAGAGCTACCCTTTAGTTCTTATATATCTAGAACAACCTAGAATACCTCTTAGCCTCTTAGGCTAGCTTCTAACAATCTGAACTATATCCTCTAGTTGTCTCTTAATAGTATAGGAGCTGCCCTTCTCTTTCTAAATCTATTGTCTAAATCTATCGCTCTTTCTCTTTAGTACTTTAAAACAAATATCTAATACAAAACTCCTACTTAAGAAAAAGTTAGTTTTAAGTTAGGTAACTTAAAAGGTTAGTATATAGATTCTAGCTCTATAGGGTAATAGAGAGGTAATTTCTCCTAGTAAAGGGAAGTAGATACTATAGGGGCTTCTCTTATGCCTTTTGCTCCTCTTAAGGTGCTTAGTAAGCAATCTTAAGGTATCTACAATACAGTCTAGTCGTATGTGTTACTAGGCTCTTTTATAGCTTATATATACCTTTAGGAACTTCTAGACATAACTAGAATCTTCTAAAGCTTCTAGTATACTATAGGGGCAAGCCTTAGGTCTACCTTCTCTTTTCTACTTCTCTTTTAAAGTCTTATAGGTGTAGAGAGAACCTATACTACTAAAAACCTCTTTATAGACATACTACAAACCCGGGCTTAGAACCTATTATACTAAGTCCCTAAAAGGGTGTCCTAATAACAGTTTTGTATAGGTATAGCTATAGCGGAAGGTGTCTACAAGGTAGGTAGGTAGTAGGAACTAATATGTTAATTGAGTTAATTATCTAGAGCGATATATAATCCTCCTAAACTTAGAGTTCCTAGCTATAGGTTACATAACCAAATCATGTAACTAGCCCTATCTAGTACAGCCGCTAAGGACTACACTTTCTAACATATTCTTTACTAACTTTAGGAAGAATCTAAAGACGTTTAGATTGTAATAAGACTAAATAAGACTATACCCTAATGCGGAAAAGGTAATAATCGCTTTAGAAGACCTAAAACGGGTGCATAACTAGTTACAATCCGTAATCTAAGACACTTAGGACCGGATTTTAGGGCTATATAACAAGAAAAGAAAAATAGCGCCTTAGCTAAAGAAGGGGGATAAGGTCTACCTCCTTACTAAGAACTTAAGAAGTCGGAAACTAACGAAGAAACTGGACTACGTTAAAGTCGGGCTATTTTTAGTTAAAGAAGCCCGAGGACTAGTAAACTACCGACTTAAATTACCGGTAGATACGAAGATTCATCCCGTGTTCTATATCTCTCTTTAGAACTAGCCGACGCCGAGACACCTTACTAGGAAACATTTTTATATATACTAGAAGAAGAAAACGAATTCGAAGTCGAAAGGATCCTAAGAAAGGAAGGTTAGTAATATCTTATTAAGTAGAAAGGATACGACGAATTAGAAAATACCTAGGAACCGGAGAATAACCTTACGAACTATCGCTAGCTACTTTAGCGTTTCTACTAGAATTATAAGGCAGTTACTAGAACTCCGAGTTAGGAACAAGGGACAAGTTAGCCTAAGAAGTAAGAGGTATCTAGAAAACGTCCTCTAACTCCGAAGAGTTTCCCTCGGGTTCTAGTAGGAAGTCGGAAGGCGCGTTAAGAGCCTTCGGAGAGTCCTAAGGCAGCTTCTATAGCTTAGCGAACTCCTTAGAGATTGCCTTCTCTTCCTACTCCTCCGCCGACCGAAGTTGTTTACGAAGACGATAGATACGAGCTATCGCCTCCGTTACCTTTTCCTTAGTATCGTCTAACTTACGCTTTAGTTAACGACGCTAGTCCCGAAGACGCTCCTACTCGGTCTAAGTTACCGTAACGTCGCAATTCTTATAGCCCTTACGAACACACTCCGAACAGTACCTAAAACGAATATCTACTATATACCGAATCGAATTCTCCTTCGACGATCGTACTATACGGTAGGTAGAACATAGAGACGGCATTTCGCGACCGTTACTTTCGATTAAAGACGCTTGTCTTTTATAACGCTCCTTTCGAGTTAGCGGCTCTCTACTTATAGCGGGAAAGGGAGGAAAAGAAGACACCTACCGAAAGATTTAGCTCGGGACGCGCTAAAGATAAGAGGGGGATAGTATTACGGATCGAAGTAGGAGCGAGGCTACTTCGAGAATTCCTAGCTAGTAAAATAGAAGAGAGACCCTACGCGTACAGCGAGGCACGTCACGTGTTACGTGTTCGACTAACGGGAGGAGCCGGTAGTCGAACTCTACGAAGAGGACTACGTAACAAGTTCGACTGTTCGACTATAGCTCTAGTCGGATAGCTAGTTTCTAGCTAGTAGGTAGGACAAGTTAGTCGAACTAGAAATCTATATAGGAACACTAAGAACGCCTCTAGCTTTCGATATGTTTAACTTACTATAGTATCTTACTACTTAGAATACAATCTCTTAAGTTACTATACTACTCTATCGCTTTACTCTTCCTCTACTAGACCTCTCTACTAACGAGCCTAATACCGATTAAGCCTTATATAAGTGATCCTTATGTATTGTGAGATTATTAAGTTATAGACTTAACACTTAGTAGAAATTATATATATATATATAGAAGCTTAGTAGTACTCCTATCCTAGGCGCTAATCTATCGTATTACTAACTTAATATCTACCTTTTACTCTTCTCTAATCCGATTTAGAGGTACGAGCTAGATAACTATATTACTAGTTAATATTATATAGCTATAATATATTAGACTTTTACTAATACTAGTCCGCTCTATAATAATACTATCTCGCTAGCTAAAGATCGGGGTATATAAGGCCTTAATCTAGAGCTCCTTTAGCTCGTAGCCTTAGTTTAGATAAAAAGTATTTAGTACCTAGCGTAGGCTATTCCGGATAATATCGTACTATACGTTAAGTAACTCGCTATATTCCTATATATTAAAAACGAGTTATTAGATTTGTTCGAGTATAGTAGTACTAACTATAATACTATTATAGCGATTATAGAAGTATTACTTCTACGTCTAGATACTAGTATTAGTATATAGTAGCGGTACCTTTAGAGTAGACTATACTAGCGCTATATAAATAATAGACTTCCGGCCTAGTAAGCGAGATACCTACTACTATTATTCCTCGTTCTTCTTCTATTATATACAAGCCGTACCGAGATTAGTCTTTTAAGTCTTCTTCTTAGAATATAGAAGCCGAGTCGATATTATAGTAGCTATTTTAAGTACTACTAGTATATCTATAGATAGATAGAGGTATAGGATTAGAGTACGTAGTATATAGTAGAGGCTCTTTAAGGCTATTCGAGAAGCGTAGTATAGTAGTACTATTATTTTAACTAAAATTAGCTAGTAGATAGTCGATCGAGGTATAGAGAGGTAGGCTTAGTAAGCCTTAGGAATTTACTCTCTATAGCTATATCGAATAAGTACCTATATAGAACTAATCTATATATACTTAGAGGTTATAGAGATAGTTAAGAAGGTAGATCTCCTATACTTTTATATATACGTATCTATATTATTTACTCGATTATAAGTATAGAGAAGGAAAAAGTAAATAGATAGTAGGAAAATAACGTTCGCGTTTTCGTAATCTATAGATCGTAAAACTTCGTAGATCTACGTATAAATTAATTAATTTACTTTAGAATAGTATTTTCTAGGACCCTTTTATACGGATTTACTATACCTTTCTTAGTTATTAAGGTATAGTTAAACCGCGCTCTTCGAAGGCACTCTTATAGCGCGGAAACGATAGATTTACTAGTTTTATCCTTAGGCGCTTCGCTAACGCTCACCTTCCATACTATACCTAAATCGGACTGCCTCCTTCCGCCCGTACCCGTCCGACACTAAAAGCGGCGCTATCGATTATAGCATAAGTACGGAGCAAAGCACGGAGCAAACAAAGCACGGAACAAAGAGCGTTAGGAAGGAAGCGCCTGAGAAGGAGGCAGAGATCCAACTGTCCGCAAAGGTCGCTGGACCGACGCCGAAGACAGAGTGTTGGTGGCAGCCTTCGCCCAGCTTGGTCCAGCATGGAAAGACATCGGTCGGTCATTCATTCGAGGCACGGTGCAAACTGAGCTGGCATTACTAACGGGTCGCAGCGGCTTTGATCCCAGGTCGAAAAGACGATCAGTGCTCTAAACGCTACATAGACATTCTAGATCCCTCCGCCAAAGACCGCTTAGCAAGCTGGACACATGCCGAAGATGATTATCTCGCGGAGCAGGTAGCGAGGCTTGGGAACAGCTGGGCCTCCATCTCGGCCGGCCTTCCGGGACGGCCACCATTAACGTGTCGCAACAGGTGGCGGGCGATCTTAAGAGCCCGTTCCAGGGCATCCAACGATAGCGTCACGAATGACCGCGACAGCCCAATGTTTATAGGAGTAAGTGCCCCGAGTGTGGAGAATACGGCCGATGCAGCATGGCTGAGTCCGTGGACGTCCCAAACGCCTCCTACTTTAAGCGACCATGCCCTCTCTGTCGACGAGCAATGTGTGCATTCTGGTACCTCCGACTCGGAATCAGCTTCTCGGAGCCACGCAAATCTTCACCGGAGCATTCCAGAGCCTGTCAATCAGACTAGCCAGGCTCCCTTGGGTTCTCCTGCTGTTCCAGCATCAGCGCAATCGCAAACATGCCTCGAGCCGTCTAATCTATTTACGGAGGCCGAGTGCGACGCACTGAGTACAGTGGTCAACGATTGCAATTCTCATTTCGACATGGACTTACCGTACGACTGCGCCTTTGACCACACCCAGCAGGATGGGCACGCAGCTACAACGCCGGCGATCCGGGTGCAGAACTCTGGCGGTAGTAGCGACTTCTTGGCCGGTCTCGACCTCTCCAGTATCGACATTGGCTTTCTCGATGCTCACTTCAACCCGAATCCACCTTTACAGGACAGCGCTAGAAATGCACCGCCTGGCGGCGCCAGCTTACCCTCACCGGGTCAAGATGTCACTGCTCATTCCTCAGAACACGACACATCGATATCCTTGAACCATTCCCAGACTCATAATCGCACCGGCATGGACGCGGAGATATCGCAACTGCAAGCATGGGAAAGCGACAAAAATCGGATGCCGTACAATCACAGTGCGACTGGCAATGTAACGCATGTACATCATGAAATTCATGTGCATCACCATCACTTCATCCATCACAGGGATGACTAGTTTTTGGTGGCATCCGCCATGGGCGCAGGGTGGGAGAAGGCGAAGATCGACCTGGTAGAGATTGCGTTGTTCGCAACTTACGAAGTTCGATCAGGTTCAGAATGTCAAATCGGAGCAGCGGAGCCGTCCTGGAATTAAACGGGTCCAGCGATACGTCCCGAAGATTATTCTCGGATGAGACGCTGCGGACGGTAGCTGCCGATGGTGGACAAAATGCGTAGGTGGCGAGCCAGCATGGTGAGACAGCGGATGTATTTACGGCATTGTGTTCACGTGCTAACGGCTTTATCAGCTTCACTGCGACACAGCTCCATATTGCGAAGTATGCGAGGTCTCAAGTGAAGAAGCCGGCTAGCTAGCGGCCAGCAGGGTACCTATACCGCCGAATCATCTTTACGGGCGATGTGTCGTCTCGCATCGGGACAATGAGTGCCTTGTTTGGGTCCATTCCCTCCGTCCGGCAGTGGCGACACGTATATCGTAGAGGAGAAAGCGATAGCGAGCGGCCTCTACAGCAACCTTGGCTCAGAAGCGCTCTCGCGGGAACCATGCAGTCTCGGCCCAGGACGGACAGAGGACGGACAGCAAACGTCGCGCTGGAAGTGGGCGTTCATGCGCCGTTGTTATTGTGGAGGTACAGTCCGGCTCTGCGGACTGAGAGAAGCTGTACTATCCGTGATTGAGAGACCCTTTCCTTCTCCATTGGAGCGCTTCATCTCGATGGATTTATGCACACATTCATGCACACACCTCAAAACAAAAATGCGGTTGTGGCGTCTGTACTGGAGCCGTGCGTGCATTGACGCGGAGCTGAGCCAGCTCCGGTATTCTTTAACCTCTTGCTGACGATTACGCCATGGCATTCTGATTCAGATGCCAATCGTGAATGGTCGTCTCCGGGATTCGAACATCTCCCTCAGAGAATAGAGACCTCAATAGAATACAGCGTGAGGTTGACTGTACCTGAACACACCGGCTGAAGCGCGTCATGGCCACGTCATGCGGTCCTTCAATTCACATTCATGTTGTCATGTTGATGCGACGCCGACGGCCATCACAAGACATACAAAACATTCTCGAGGAGACGACTTGGGACATCAACCGCACCACGGACCACACTAAGAATCACACCAAGAAACCTTCGGAATCACCGCGCTATGGCTGAGACACACCACTTTCAGGCGTCACGCCTATTCTCTGTCAAAGGCAACGTCGCTGTCGTGACAGGCGGAGCAACTGGCATTGGCTTGATGATCACTCAAGCTCTCGCCGCCAATGGAGCCAAGGTCTACATCACCAGCCGTCGTGCAGAAGCTCTCGAGACCGCCGCGCAGTCTCATTCGCCCGACCTACAGAATGAAATGAAAGAGACGGGAGGACACATCATTCCACTCGGTCCATGCGATGTAACGAAGAAGGAGGATCTTCAGAAGGTAGTGGATGAGCTGAGCACGAAGGAGAAGTACGTCAACTTGCTGGTGTGTAATGCTGGTGTGGCAGGGCCCAAAGCAGAGCCGAAAGAGCAAGACGCAGGAGATTTGAAGAAGAAGCTGTGGGAGAACGAGAGTGTGGAAGAGTGGCAGCAGACATTACAAACGGATGTCACGTCGGTGTACTTCACGACTGTGGCATTTCTCCCATTGCTACAGGCATCCATGGCTTCAGGCGGTGGTCCACATGAGGACTACTCGGCTTCTGTCATTGTCACATCCTCGATGTCTGGTCTCATGCGCCACGCTCAGGGCCACTTCTCATACAACGCAGCCAAGGGCGGAACCGTGCATCTTACGAAGCTCATGTCTGCGGAGTTTCAGAAAGCCAAGATACGAGTCAACTCTATCGCACCGGGGTACTTCCCATCAGAGATGACTGCCAAGGACTCCGACGAACGTAACAAATCCGGCTTCCCACAGGAGAAGATCGAGAGCTACGGTCATGTACCGTTGATGAGAGCCGGCCGGGACGAAGAGATTGGGATGAGCGCACTCTACATGGCCAAGTGCTACTATCTGAACGGTCAGATTGTTGCCGTTGATGGAGGGGTTTTGAACGTGGTGGCTAATTGAGAGCTCTCGCTGCTGCTGGACTTATTTTGACAATGAATTGCTGAAAGAGGAGGCGGTGGACGTTGTGGTGCATCGTGCCTCAGTGACTGGGGCGACATAATTTTAGTAAGGTCATTCTCCAGTTCATATGACTCGGGCTGCCCAGGGCCGCGGCCATTGCAACAACAGCATACCCTAAGGACAGTAATTAATGATATAGCGGGGCGTTAGGCGTATAGAGGTAGCAGCTTGAAGAGAGTCGCATTCAAGAAAAGCCGCCTGCCAGTTTTCGAGTAGATAGCTTATAGTATTCCTACCTCCCAAGTCAGACTACTAGGGCTTTAAACTTCGCTCCTTCTACGTAACTTGATTTGATTGACTAGGGCTGTGCCTAGCGCCGGTGATTAGTATAGCGCTAAATCAAATTAGCGGATCTTTATTAACCTACTCTTTTTCTACCTAATCAATATACGCTATTCTATTTAAAGCTCTAAGAGTCTAATATAAAAACCGTAAACGTACTACCCGGTTAGTTCTATTACTACGCGATATTAATATCTCGTTAACGTAGTATATATATATACGTAATACTAGAAGATTATAGAGCTACTTCTTACGAGTTTAATAAATCGATTTTCGTATATATACGACTATAGGAACCCTTTTAAAAATCCGTATATATAAAGCTACTCTAGGTAGCTAGTTTCGCTAGTAGACGTAGGTAGCTAGCTAGTAAATATTAAAATTTTAACTACCTTCTTTCCTCTTAGTAATACTTAGAGGTTACTTAGAAAGGTATCGTAATTCTAATAATATAGCTTTCGTATATATATAGTAGCCGAGTCTATTATTATAATCTAAGAGAGTAAAGTCGCGAAGCTCGTAGATTACGCTAGCGCTAGCGCGTATCCGTATCGTTTACTAACTAATATAAAGGAATATTTACCTATAAATACTTCGAGATAGGTAAATAACGTATTACTAAGAAGCTTAAGTAATTAGTAAGTAAATATAAAGCGTAGTTATCGTACGGAAACCCGTAGTACTAAGCCTCTTATAAAGCTCGTAAATTCTTCTTCTTCTTCTTCTTCTTCTTTCTCTTATCTAAATACTAAATACTAAATACCTACTCTTTCGTAACCGAATAGCTAACCTTTCTATACTACTTTCTATACTCTAACTAACGAATATAGTAGACCTATACTAGCTATCCGATCTAGCTAAGCTACTATAAGCGTAGATACTCGAAGAATAGAAAGAGTAATAGAATAATAACTAGTCTACTACGTCTCGATAGTAATAGTACGCTCTATAGTAGTATACTCTTAGCTCTGAATTTAGCTTAGTATAAGATCTTCTAACGCCCGAGTACCTTCGAGTATAATTAGCGTAGACTTAGTATTAGTACGCTCTTAGCTCCGAGTTTAGCTTAGTATAAGATCTTCTAATACCTAAGTACCTTCGAGTATAATAGGCTTAGCGACTTTAGGATCCTTTTAACCTCGCTCTTTTAGGTAGTAACCTACCTAGCCTAGCTAAACTAGATCCCTTACTATAATAGATTACTATATAGATATAGGGATATTAGTATAATATCTAGGAATATAGTAGTATAGGTATAGTAATATATACTAGAATAATCCTAAATAGACTAGAAGTAGGTCGTACAACCTATCGATATCCGGAGATATATACTAAGTGTTACGTAACTACCGAAGTAAGCTCCGGTCTAACTTATAACTAGTTCGTAAGAGGTTCGTAAGGCCTCCGTAGGGCCTTACTATACGTAACGTTACTACGTAATATATCGTTACCGGATCGTAAGGGGTTCGTAAGGTATCTATAGAGCCTCCCTATACGTAATATTACTATATAATATCTCGGTACTAGATCGTAAGAGGTTTATAAGGCGTCCGTAGAGCCTTTATAAGGCCTTACGTTATATAATCTTATTACGTAACGCGACCGGATCGCCTACGACCTACTTACGTATTATAGACACTTCTCTTCTATATCGATATCTACGTCGAATATACTTAATTGTCTCTTACGCTAATTGTAGGCGTATAAGCCTAGCCTTTCGGACTTAGTATATCGTTAGCGATTAGCTAGTAGGGATCCTAGGCTTAGCGCTTACGTACGTCTTTATATATAATACGCTAGCCTAGTAATTCGTAGGCGGATCGCTATACTATTATACTATAATTCTTCTACCTCTAGTAAACTCGAGTTACTTTAGGGTCGTACTAGAAGCGATTCGCTACTAGATTATCGATCTTTAGGTATAGATATCTCCGCTAGAGAGGAATCGTAGTCGGCTTATAGGTACTTTATAAGGCCTCTATAGAGCCTTCGTATCTACGGATTTTAAACCTTAGGCTACGATCCTTCTACGTAGTAGTTAGTTACTACTCTAGAGTCTTCTAGAGAGTTCTACCGATTCTACGGGACTCTATTTAGTAAATCCGCTAGTAAATTATATATAAGTAGTTACTAGAGTAACGCCGTATAGTAGAGCTATAGAGATTTTAGAAGCTTCGGTCTTATAACTTATCCTAAATCTCTATATACTCTACTACTTACGTACCCTTACCTCTATATACTACGTATTATACTAATCTTTAGCTCTTCGCTTACTTCTATCTATCGCTTATAATTAACTATTTCTTCTCGTACTAAGGTAGGTTCGGCGCTAGTCCGTAAGCTGTTTGTAGGCTAACCTATTTATAGCTTCTTATATATATTTCCGTACCGAATTACTAACGAGTTATTAATATAGCTAGCGCTTACCTATACCTTCCCTTATTTATCTATAAGACTAATCTATTAGAAGATTAGTACTTCGTTTAGAATCATACTAATCTTAACTATAACGCGCTACGAGTCTACTACTACTATAGAGTCTATAGTAAGAGTATCGCTAATAGGCGTTAGTATAATAGACTAGGCTACTAAGCCTATAGGTATTACGCGCGTATTTATAAGGCTAGGTACGAGTTTATAAGTATTACCTACGGTTCGTAAGTAGTTTAGAGGCTAACTCTCTACTAGGTCGATATCGATATCTAAGGCCGCGTTAACCGCTTAAGAGAGTTACGAATTAACTACGAGAATATACTTTAGGGACTCCGTAACTATTACGGATCGAAGTGGGAGTAAGACTACTTCGAGAATTCCTAGCTAGTAAAATAGAAGAGAGACCCTACGCGTGTAGTAAGGCACGTTACATGTTACGTGTTCGACTAACGGGAGGAGCCGGTAGTCGAACTCTACGAGGAGGACTATATAACAAGTTCGACCGTTCGACTATAGCTCTAGTCGGATAGCTAGTTTCTAGCTAGTAGGTAGGACAGGTTAGTCGAACTAGAAATCTATATAGAAACACTAAGAATGCCTCTAGCTTTCGATATGTTTAACTTACTATAGTATCTTACTACTTAGAATACAATCCCTTAAGTTACTATACTACTCTATCGCTTCACTCTTCCTCTACTAGACCTCTCTACTAACGAGCCTAATACCGATTAAGCCTTATACAAGTGATCCTTATATATTATAAGATTATTAAGTTACAGACTTAATAGCTTTAAACACCCTCGAGGATGTCTAATTAACGAAGTTCTAGGGGAACTCCCGCCCCTAGTAAAGTAGGACGACTAAGGACTAACGAAGCTATTTAGGCTTTAGCTACGTACGAAGGAGACAAGAACCTTAAGGTCGGTAAGCCGGACTTCTACTATAGTAACTACGAGAAGTATAACACCTAGGTTAACTAGATAGACCTCTACTTTCTCTTTAACCCTATAGAAGAACGTCTTAAGCCTGTCTTTACTACTACCTTTTTAAGAGGACGTGTATAGTATTAGGTTAAACCTTTTCTCCGCGAATACCTCGACTCCGGCGATACGAAATTAGGAAACGGAATCTTTAAGTTATACTAACACCTTAAGACCTCTATAAAGACCGTGTTTAGTATATCTAACGAACAATCGACCGCCGTACGAGTTATTTAGTACCTTACGTAACGTACCTCTACTACCGAATATGCCGCTAAGTTCTAGGAACACGCTTAACTTACCGACTAGGACGACGAAGTACTCTAAACGATATACCGACGAGGACTAAAGGATAATATTAAGGACGAATTAATGCGCGACGGGCGATTAATCGAAGACCTAGGAGAACTAGTTTAGGTCACAATCGATCTTAACGACAAGCTCTACGAACGAGTAATAGAAAGGCGTTACGATTCGAAAATATTAGGACGCGCTAGGTACGTTTCCGAAAGACGACGCTAGGGCAGTTACAACCTACGGTTTAACAAGACAAATCAATTATATTAACCCTACTATAGACTGTAGCCTATAGAACTCGACGCTACCTAGAAAGGTCGTAAGATACGAGGCAAAAGTTCGCCTCGAAAGAAAACTGTAGGAAAACTAACTTACTATACCTATAGAAAAGAAGGACATATAGTACGGGATTGCCGCGGTAAGAATATAGTACGCTACGAACAGTTTAATATAATGTAACTAAGATCGGGACGAGAAGTATATAATATGCCTACTCTCGACGAGAAAAAGGAACCCCGACTCTTTAGAGTAATAGTACGTCGTAAGGGAAAGTACGGTACCCTTTATTAGAGATACTATTACGACGATTTATACTAAGAACATTATTCCTCGAAGATAGGAGTAGGATACTAGCTATAACGACTACTATTACCTATATAGGATCCGCGGCCCGATAACGAAGAAGAAAGGACCGATAGATACCGACTTCTACCTATACTAGAGGAGCTACGTAGACTCGAGCTACCTATACCGGTTAGCGAGGAAGAGTTAGACAAGGAAAATCTAACGCCCGAGGAAGAATAAGACAGCGAGGAAGAAGGTAACGAACGGCTATCTTAGCTTCCGGAAGAACTAGAGATACCGGAATCCTTAAAAGAAAGCGATATTATAGAGGAGGACGACGACGGAGAAATTACAACCTTTACGGTAGACGCCCTAAGACAAGTA